CTCCTTCAAGAGACACTTAACAACTCACCTCTATGACCTGACTTTCGAGTGACTCTGAACTTGGCTCCGCGCTTCTGGGGTTGCGGCCGTTCCGTCCGCAAATTTGCGCGCGTTACAATTTGTATTATTATTATTATCAGAGGGAGCGGGGGGGGGTAACGTAAAAATCGCCCCATTGTTTTAACTGCCACGCCGGGAGATGGATGGCAAGCCCAGTGTGCAAACCGTTACACTGCAACATTTCAAAATAAACATGCTCCATGACATGTAAAACACAAAGTCATTGTTCCTCCCTCGTTAAATGAGTGTGGATAAACGAGTGTGGATAGGTGCTCATCTCAGTTAGCAATTGTGACACACTCGTGAAAATTGCACATTCCTACGGCAGCCTCCCAAAAGGACAAACACTGTTCATTTCCTGGAGCATGGTCGGCCCGGTTAATTTACAACTTGGATTCGATCTCCTCGTAATGCATACGACCGTGAGATCAGTGCTCGAACCACAGCAACCCTCTGCCAGACGGATACTCGATGTAACCTCGAGTGCACATCGGTATATCTCAAGGCCATGCGCGATGGCGATGGCTCGGGGAGGTCTTCATCTGGCAGTCGATAGATCATGGACGATGTTCAATTATAAAGAGATAGTTACATAGATGAGCCACGAGCAACGAGACTCGCAACAATACGGCCATGAGTTCAGATCCATACGAGGTCAGTGAGATGAGCACCGCCTGGTGAAAAGTGAAACCGTGGTGGTCCAATCGAGTTATGGGCCCCGCCATGTGAATGTAGAATGAGCCAGCACAACTGATGTAAATGAGCAGCACTCACCACTCATTCGAGGATGGGGACACTTTGAATTTTAATAAGTGCATATATGCTTCAAGGTATAATTATTTCCTCATGCGTTCTCTCGTTCTCTCGCAGCCTCTTGCTCAGTTTCCCCTTGTTTCAAAGACTTGTAGTAATTACGTTCTGCAGGAACATTGAGCCTTATTAGAGAAATGAATTGCAGCATGATCTCAATGTCTGTTCCTTTCTCTCATTACATGAAGCTTGCATAACAGAGGAATTAGCAGCTTACTGGTCATGGATAGGAGCTGATGGACGCTTCACAGCCGATACTTTTTCCTTACTCGCCGTGGATGTATTCACTCTCTGTAGTTAAAATCGACACACATTTCGAGCCAACAGTATCATAGTCAAACTCAAGGCAAAGTGTCTTCATGCCCAAATGATGGGCGTCATCGGATTCCTGAGCTGATGCTGGAAATTTACATTCCCATGAGGGTGACCAATTTCTCCACGTGATCACCATTGTTGACTTCACACAAAATGGTACTTAGTTCATCTAACCAAGAGAAATTATGGGGATGTGAATCCACAACCTTACAAATTTAAACAGAGGGCTCCAACTCATCGTCATTCAATGCATGACTTGCTTCAAGTTGCAATTCCAGGAAGCCACAGAGAGAGTTGTGTAAACTTTTAATGCGGTTAACTCCTTCTCACACAAATATTGTATTCATCATTGAAGGTCGAGCAATCATTGTATTGCTCCGTAACCTCCCGACGGTCATTCTGGTTACAATTAGATAACAATTATTTGAAATTCTATAGAAATGTAAGACAAATACAGGTGGACAGACAGAATCATGAATTTGGGTGTATGCAGTCCGTATTAAATGCTATATAATTTACACTATGAGACCTCCTTTGCCAGTTGCAATATATAGTAATAGGTTTTTACCCTTTTATCTGGCACAAAAACTGACACCTTTATACAAGTGATCATGTTTGCAATAACCACAACACAAGTAGTTAAGAATGCAAACAAAAAGAGACAACTATGATAATGATATGCACTGTCCTTGAAATTGATTGGTCCACACCCGAGACGGCTTTTCTTAGAGTCTAGTCTCAACTGGTGTTGAACCAGATGACGCCAAAAGATGACGCCTCTGTGTGCCAGATAAAGGGGTAAAAACCTATTACTACTGCAATATCATTGTCAACACATTGTCAGTCCACTGCTGGATGAAGGCCTCCCGATGCCGTGTGAATCACGGGGGTTTGCTTGACCACACTTTGCCAGTTTGGGTGAGTGAGGTTTGGGTGGGAGTGGGGCAGAAGCAGTTCAGATATCACTCACTGCGGATATAAGCCATGCTCAGGAATTGAACTAGGCTCGAGAGGACTCGTAGCACAGTCCTCTAAGCTCTATCGTTGTGCTTTGAAGATGTTCCTGAAATTAATAACATATTGGAGGATGACTTGCTGTTAATGTAATATTTCTGGTCTGTTTACATCTCGAGCCTCTTACTGTCGGCACCATGAGCTTTGTACATGCCCCCACCGGCTATTGATTGTGCCGGGAAAAGTCTGTAAAATAACAGACGAACACACTTTAGTGGCCACACACAGAGCTTTAATGCTCGGGCCGAACAAAAAAAAAATCCCCGACAGCTTCTACTTACGCCGCGTCCAAGGAGCATATTCTAATGACTTTATGAATGTGTATAAAGAGTTATTCTCCGAATGCAAAAGATCGCCGCTTTTTACCAGCGATTGCACCTCCACGGACACCACAGACATTCCTCGTATCCCTCCACATGACTGTGATCGTTGGACGTGCTCCAGAACTGGCACAAGATTTTTCTGGCAAAAATGAATAGCCTCTGGGCATGTTTATCGCTCACCAACAGCTGATAGCTATCATTTATTTACTCAGTCTGTTGCATTTAGCATTTTTTTTTTACGTGGCAGCTTATTACTTTGGAAATGTTTGCTGTAAAGGGCAGTCGTTTTTTTGCTAAACTGTCAAAGTAAATATTTGTTTTAGGAAGTACAGTCAAAGTGAATGGCACGGTTAAATATTTGCACTATTTATATACCTGTTCACTATCTGTTTACTAAATTTACGTGCCCCTATGTTCAGCCAAGCACTGGGCAGTGTTAATATCGTTAATCGGTCCTTAGCCAGCAGTGGAAATTCCACATTACTCCATCAGTGACTGGTAATTAATTACTTGATTTGGTAAAAAAACACAAAACAACATCGCCCGTTACGGGCAGACTATATCTGTACGAAACGTAGCGTCATCGTCTGAGCCTTGAGCCATAAGAGTAGCACGAATATCACAGGTAATGAACTATTATTGCGGTATTATGATTCCCTACTACAATCACCGCTAATTGTCACTAAGTGGTACATTATCATCAGGTGGTGATCATTTCACCGGGGGATGATTGGCTGAGTGAACCAAAGGTAGGATTTGAACGTTTTAACCCCTCCATTGGAAGCCCTGGTCAGCTCTATTCCACTCTTTTATACATTGAGATAAAGGTGCTGCCGTGCAATTTCCTTCTCTGGTCACTGCCGGTGGAAGGGCATCGACTCTACGGAGCTTAAGAGATCCCCTTTCACTACGGTGATTTTGCTGTGGCTGTTCCACCTTATGACGGAAGCTTGTGTTGCCTCTGAAACGTCGCGATTTTATTTAGTTATTTTCATTTTATAATTTTTATTTTTGCATCTACATGACTCTACCGAAAGATCCAAATAGTATGGATCCTTGCATTCACGAAAACTTCTAATCTAGAAAGATCCCCTTTATTGGGAGTATTTGGCCTACTCTTCCATTCTGGCAAGATGTCTTTGGAAGACGTGGGAGGACTTGCAATTTACCCAATGCCACGTGACCTGCAGTGGTAACCCTGTTGACATTGCTGGATGGACGTAGGCGGAGGGGATTTAAGAAACTGGCACCCTTGTTTCAATTACCGCACCGGGAGATCGAACCGGGGATCGAACCAGCGACCTCATGGATTGCAAGTTGAGTGCGCGAACCGTTACACTATTGCAGCCACCCTTTTTTGTGACGGAGTCTTATTTGTTTTGAAATGTCAAGGTGTCCCCATTCCCAAGTGAGCATTGGGTGGTCCTCATCTCTTTCTGGGGGGGGGGGGGGGGGGGGCTAGAGTTGCATCTAATGACACTCCCCCCAGGCCAGTGGTGTGATCTGCGTATTCATAATGCCGGAGCCAGTATGCATCACCGCCGGACGGCTTCACGCGCGTAATTTAACTATTTAATGTGTGACCCTTAATTCAGAAGTCCTGCCACCGCCGTCACTTTCCGCTCGGGTAAACTTTTTTTTTTTCCTATAAATAATATTAGCTTAACCCCCAGCTCCATTTATGCATTCTTTAGCGATTAGGCTGGAGCTTCTGGCCAAAAAAAAATAATGTTGAGACACAAGGAGTGAGAGATAATATTTGGAATACCAACAAGAAGCGAGAAGCTGTTTTCTGTTGCCTTGGATTGAAAGGCGGCGAGAATCAACACTAAGGGATATGTGCCAGTGTCAACGGCCACGAAGGCAGACCCCAGCCGTTAATGCTTCGTAGGTGGTGCCATGCAACCCGTCTAATCATCGATGCCAAACAAATGTGCTGTAAATGCAGCCGCCCTGCCCCTGTTTATTTTCTGTGCCGTTAAGATTTGAGAATTACGACGAGCAGTTCCAGCTGGTCATCAGCCCCCGTGGCACTGTATAAAATAAATAAATTACGCAAGGAGCCGGGGTCGAGAGAGAGAGAGAGAGCGAGCAATTTTTTTTTTTGGCGAGCAAGCGAAAGCAGGCCACGGGAGAAAAGGCAGCATGTCATGGAACTCGCACATCTGGAAAAGCCTTCTGCCAGCGCTCACTCTGAATTGCTGTCTCAAATCTTCGTCTGAATCTCCCTCGCGCGCGCGCTCTCTCGCTCGCTCGCTCCGCTCCCCCTCCCTTTCTCTCTCTCTCTGCGCGGCGCTGGCTCCCTCTCTCGCCTTCACTTGCCCTCGAGCCAAAATCCTAACTCACTCCACTTTTGCTCGGCCCCTCCCCGCCGCTTGCTCACCCTCCCTCTCCCAACAAACCCTCCTCCTCCTCGTACCCCCACCCCTCTCCCTCCCTCCCCAGTTCCTCTTGTCATTTTCCAAAGCCTGCAAGCGAGTCTACAGTGTAGCGTGGGCAGGGGGGTTCCAATCCACGGGAGTGTCTTTGACTCAGCCGAAGCAGCCCCTCTCGCCGGCTCTGTGTAGCAGGGATCTTTAATGCTGTCGGGTGACGCTTCCGCTCTCAGGCTGCCCGTCAGCTGAGAGGCGTTGGCCAAAGGACAATGGGTCGCTGCTCGTGCCTTTAACCGGCCACTGAGGTCGGTCTGCAACTTGAAATTCTTTCATCGCTGTCATCAATTGGCACCTCGACAGGTAAGAGCTGCGCCACACATCCATCTCTTTTTGTCGCACGGCAATTGCATGCACTCGGTGTAACCGAACCGCTGTATTACAAACACGTGTGTGTGCGCGCGCGTACCAGGGTTGCATGCGGCTAATTCAACATTGCTGTACTTAATTTAACTGCAGTGGTTGTCCTATAGATGGACTCTGATTCTTGCCATCGCGATGCAGAATCTCATCGTCTGACTAAAGGCTGTTTTCGGTAGTCATTTGAGCAGCATAACCCACTTTGACGTGTATCAAGTGCACCGTTGACATTCTCACTTCAAAACTCCACTTTTGCAATTAATTGCAGTACTTTTAAGATCCCTCGCTAAGTGCACATTGCATCATTTACAGAGTTGTTTGTTAACAAGCTTGCATTATTAAACATTCATCATCTTTGAACGATGAATGTTTAATGGGTTTGTCTCATGAAAGTGCTCCGCTATTTCCCAGAGATTCTCTGGTTAATTGCGTGTTTATTAGATTCTGGAGGGTGTGTTGCTCCACACTGATGTAATGTCCTGTCGCTCCCCAGTGACAGTAGTGATGTGTTAATTCCTGATCTCCAGGGGTCAAACGCTGGGAGGATAACGGATAAGGGCTTTGTGATCTTTTTCTGTGAACCTCCCCCAAAGACCAACCTTTCTGTGCGTGTGCGCACGTGCACACTTTGCATGTGCGTTCGCGTACGTGTGAGAGAATGACACACACAGACCAGAGAGTGGCCGTGTGTGTCTATCGTTGTGGGGAGCGGTGGCGCAGTGGTTAGGGAGCTGAACGACGTTCTTGGCCACCTGAGTTCGATTCCCGCTCACGGCCAACACCACTGGCGGTTATCTGAACCGGTTCTGAGCTTCCCGTAGGTCGACTCAGCCTCACATGGGTACCTGGTGTGGGGTGCAAACAACTCTCTTGAGAGATAAAGGCGGTCGGGCGTGGTGCTGGTCACCAGCACCAGTGTCTACCATGCTGGTCTTCATAGATGCTCACTAAGAGCACTTGCCCCAGGAGTCTGTGAAGGCTATGGGGTGATCTTTGTTGTCTCTTTGGTTCGATAGCTTCTGTCGATAAACGGAGTATATCTGTGTTTGTGCTGATGGAGTAGTTAAAACCCTGCATTGCAATGACGATGACCCCGTTTAAATCCCTGGCCGTGCACCATACGTACCAGCCACAATGGGTACAATCATCTGTAATATGAACCGCTGCTGGTCCTCTACTAGGCTGACTCGGCCCAAATTGAAGACTCATGACGTACACATATCAGCACTGGGGAGGCAAAAGGCCAGCTTTGATGTGGCTGCATCAGAGTCAAAATCTTCAGAATCGGAATCTTTATTGCGCATCCTGCCCCTTAGTCGGTGCTCACTAACGACGCGTGCCGCAGCAGCTACGAGGTGAACTGCGGGGGGTGGATAGGGGTCTTTGTGTGGGAGATCGCGTGCAAAAGAGAGACGGCAGGGAGTGTCTAGGCATGCACGTGTGTGCATGTGTGTGCGCGTGTGTCTTTGTGCATGTGTGTGCGTGCATGCGCGCACGTCTTAGTAGACGTACGTGCAGCACGTGGAATGTGCGTGAATGAACTTTGTTTAGCGCTTTACGCTCGGGGGCAGACGAGCTTTCGCAGAACGCTCTTATATAACGGGGAGGGCCTTAGCATTCCACGGGATGTCTACGGGAACTGGAGAGTCACATATAGCCACTCGCACTGCCACCACCGCCGCCACCGCTGTGTGTGATGCGGATCGGTGACAGCGGTGCAGTGGGGGGGCCGCGGTGGGAGCGACTGGAAACCAAGAAGAACTTTGATTCGCGAAGCGTTTCCCAACCCTGGCTGGCCCATTATATGTGTTATTCCCTCCCAGCAATACCTGCCAGGCGTGTATCATCATTATTTCCTTTGAAATAAAAAAATGTGTATTATATGGACGGTGGTCAGTGCAGGTTGACACCTACAACTGATGGTTAAGGACTGTCTAGCAATACCCACGACGTGTGCGATATTGAGAGGCATTCCTTGACAAATGGCTGTAAATTATGATTTTTGTTGTTTCATATAGAAGGTGCGGGAAGCACACTGCACGATGAAGTTGGCTGCTTGAGTTCAATTTCTGGCTGGTGGCTAGCATCGGTGACGAGTGATATCTGAAACAATATCTGGTGAAGTGTGGCCAAACCATGCCCATGAAATACGTGGCATTGGGAGGCATACATCCAGCAATATGGTTTTGAAAAACAGTCGGTCATCATTATTATGATTATAACGTGTATTATTTTTATATAAGCTATCGAGATAGTTTAGTCAAACAGTTAACATAATTATCAGTCAATGGTCGCGAAAGCCTTCGTGTTAAAATCATTATCAGTGTATATTTAGTGTATATTAATTACAGACCAGCAGATGGTTGCACAAATACCTGAACTTCACGTTGAATTAGACGGGAAACTAACTAAAAATACCCTGCACACCGATTTAGACAAAAAATAAAGCCAGGGAAATTTCCCTCGAGTCTTTGTGTGAGTACAGTATGTGTGTTTGAGGAGCGGTGGCACGGAGGTTAGCGCACTGCCCTACAAACCTAGTAACCTGAGTTAAATTCCGACTCACGGCGAACACCAGTGACGATGATCTGAACCAGTTCTACTGGGGAGACAAAGGCGGTCAGGCGTGGTGCTGGCCACGGACCTCGTGTATGTATGTTGAACTTCTTCCGCACGGTACGGAGCCAACCTTTGCTCATTGGAGGTGTTTACCGCGCCGTACTTAATAGGTGCTCGCTAACAGCAATTGTACCAAAAGACTGCTGGAGCAATAATGGGGATCTTGTGTTTGTGTGACGAGCCATAGGGTGTTGGATTGTGTTTGAATGATAGTTATTTGGACGTAAGTGCGTAATTAAGGTATGATATCGACAGCGAGGTATCTAAGAATAATGCATGATCATGGAGAGTCACTATTTATTACAGAAGCCTCTTTGGATAACTGTATATTATAAAACGAGAAAAGTAACCTCTGACCTTTGAGTAATGGTGCACGCCGACGATGCTAGGAACTATATGACAGGATATGGTGAACAATATCGAACTAATCATGAGACGATAATTGTTTTTTTACCCTTCTATCTGGCAACAAAACTGACACCTTTTTACAAGGAGTCATGTTTGCATAGACCGAAATACCTGCAGTCATAATACAAACAAAAGACATAACTCTGATAATGTGCACTGTCCTTGAAGTTGATTGGTCCACACCCGAGACAGCTTTCCTTAGAGCCTAGTCTCACATGGGTTGGACCAGATGACTAGGCTCTAGGCTCTAATGAAAGCTGTCTCGGGTGTGGACCAATCAACTTCAAGGACAGTGCACATTATCAGAGTTATGTCTTTTGTTTGTATTATGACTGCAGGTATTGCGGTCTATGCAAACATGACTCCTTGTAAAAAGGTGTCAGTTTTGTTGCCAGATAGAAGGGTAAAAAACCAATTATCATATTTTTACTGGCAAATGAGGTTCCCATAGTAATCATGAGACGGTTAATCATAAAAAAAATACTTTGCAATAGATGGAACACGTGTACTGACTGGGGGAGGACTTCCTGATCGAGGCAGTGTGGAGTGGTACCCAGGAGAAATCTATTGATTTATTTAGCGAATGCTCTTACGTAGCCAACCGTGCTAATCAGAGGCGCCGGTGAAGGACAATAAACTGAACACAAAAAGCAGTTCTAAACAAATGAGCTTTCAGTCGAGATTTAAAAGTTGCATAACTCTCAGTGGCATAGGATGCACAAGGGGGTGCAAACGGCGTAACCCTAGGCACGTGTGGGCCACGATTAGGACAGTTCTGCCAGCGAGCTGTAGCTTTGGTTTCCCCGGGCATCGCCGGATACTTGCAGGGGGACACGGCAAGGACGTTGCTGCATTTGTCCACTCCCTCACCTCCCCAGGGATTAGTGGTTAGTGACCAGAGGAAACCAGAAAGTCACTGGGGGGGGGGGGGGGGGGGGGCAACTGTGAACGTGGACCTCAAAGGTCAGGTGCATAACCTAGCAGAGGGAAGGGAAGTGGTCGCCAGCTGTCGGGACATCTACAGCAGGAGTGCGTATCGCTGAGCCAGTGTGCATGGAAATGATTTGTGTAATTCCTATAGCCAGCCAGGATTTCTACACAGTGGAGTGCATCTGTAAAATAAGCATTGCACATCCTGTGCCGTCATTCTCGAGCATGCCACTGTGTGCTCTTATCAGAGCCAAACGTTTTAAACATCTACGAAATGAATTAATAATTTGTAAATTATTCACGGTGGGTTTTCTTACAGTTTGAAAAGGGTTTTTTTTTGCATAAAGGGATACAGTATCACGGCGGATTATAATCTGGTTCATGAATTGCATTGGGGGCATTTACAAGAAATACGTATTGCTCCGACCGTTCTATTGGCTAATCTGCCCAGGTGTGTCGACAAATCAAATCCTGATTTGGAGGTCGACCCGGCAAATCCACCCTTCATGGTCAATAAAGTGAGTGCCCCTTCGTGAGAGGTCACCAACGGTGTATCCTGCAGAGAGACTGGCCCGCCACCGTAGAACTTGGGAGTTCATGCATGGAAATGTAGAATCCGTAGCGTTGTTTCAGGGCTGCCAACAGAGAAGAGTTACACCCATTGAAGGTTTTTTTTTCAGCGCACGTTTATTCACGCGCAAACGTTCAACTTTTTTCCGGAGCATGGAGGTGTTCAAGAAACTGTCTCTGAGGACAGCTGGCTTTGACGAGTGGAAATATTCCCCACCGGTGGAACATAAATGTGTTTTCATGTAGCCCAGGTGTTCTGGGGTCGGGTGCGCAAACCAGACAGTGCATCTCACCAAACGGCACGAAGTCTCCCCTCTCCGAGTTCCAGACGCCCACTCGGTGCACGCAGTTCAAAGGATGTGGTGAGTGCGTTGAATTTGCGCCGTTCCTATGTATAGCGAGCGAAAGTATTTTTT